GACCTGGTCCACGTGACTTGCGCCAGAGACGCCTTATCAAGGGCCTGGGCCCATACCCATGGCTTGACAGCGCGTGACTGCTGCTTGGCCACCGCACTGCAGTCGGAGGTGCAATCAGCCCGCTCCTCCAAGTGCGAGGCGAGCCTTGCGACCGCAAAGCATTCCCCTTCGCACACTGAACTCCCTGGGGGGAGAAGGCCAGTGAGTTGGCCAACCTGGAGAGGGGCACCCTCCGTCCAGGTGAACGCGCAGATGGCCCAGGCCACTATTCTGCCCCTGGCGTCGGCCGCGTAGGGCCCGCCAGAGGCGTCCGTCGAATAGAAAAGACCCTGTGGCCACTTGGCCTCTTTGCAAACACCATCGGCCCGTTCCGACTGTGGGCCCCAGCAGTACCCCTGAAGCTGGGTGGCCTGAGCCGGCATCAGGCCCCGTTCCCATAAGCAGTCGAAGGGGGACTGGGTAGTGAGGCGCTCCCAGTGTTTGGGAGGAGGGGGTGCCTTGCCGCGCCACCATCTGCAGTCGGTGGCGACGTGGTGCTGGGTGAGGGGCACCTTGCACAGGGGGCATTGCTGGCCCGCTTGGACATGCCGGTTTTTCAGAGCTCCCTGCCAGGCCATTCTCAGGGCGGCAGACTTAATCCGCGGGGCCTTTTTCACAAGGGCAGTGGGAACCGTAGTGTCCACACCTGAGGCCAGACTGCTGCAACCCGTTTGGGTGCTGATGGCCTTCCGCCGGGCCTTGTGGCAGGCGCTGGTCAAGCACGAGAGGATGGCGGACCAATGCCTCCGAAGGAGGGGGTTGAGGGCCACCATCCCAGGGTCCTCAGGGGTCCCTGCCAGGGTAGCAGGACATAGGTCAGCGGGGAAAAGCCAACGGTCCGGGGTGGGAGCCACAAGCCCGAGATCCAGCAGATAGGCTATCATGGCCCCCAGCGGTCCACAGACCACTCGCCATCTATCTTTCCTTTGGAGGGTAGTGAGCCGCCACGTGCGGTCCAGCTGCTCGCGGTCAGGGAGGCGGACCATCACCCGACAGAGAGCCTTGAAGTGTTGGGTGACCACTGCCACCCGGGGGTCCTTGACCAGCCAGGCGCCAAGTTCCAGCGCGATTTCAACACTGCCCGTGCCAACCTTGCCAGTGATGGCGGCAGCTTGGAAACGCACCGATTTCATGGTTTTGGGGCTCACCCCTTGGGCCTGGTGCCCCCAGATCCCCGATGCCAGCACGGACATGGAAAACACCCGGCTGCTGGCCTTAATGTTGCGGACCTTAAGGCTGCGTAGCTTGCCCAGTCTGGCATTGGCTTTGGTCCGCCGCGCCGTGGAGAGGCGAGTACACCGTCTCCTGCCAGCTGACAGCGTCATCCCCAGGTCTTTGGCAACACTCTGGATGGGGGGGTCACCCTCTCCCAACTTTCGCCGCAGGGCGCGCTCGGCTTGGGGACTGCTCGCCAGGAAATAGGTCTTGCCGATAGAGACCTGGTACCCAGCGGCAGAAAGCGAGGCATGCAGCCGTCTAAAGACCCTGATGACTGAGTTCGCTGCTTGGTCCGGGCTGTGATGTTCAGTATCTACCGTGATGTCGTCTATCCACGTATCTACGTGGTTGACATGCGGTCCAGAGCAACACTGCCGAATCGGCTCGCCCACAGCGAGTTTACTCAGGGTAGGGGCTAAAGGGCAGCCCGCTATAATTCCGCGGCGAGCGAAAGCAACGGGCGACGCGACTTCGTCGGAAAGGATCACTCTGCCGCCGCGATACGATTCCATAGCGAGGAAAAGCAAAAGATCCGGGAATCCGGCAGTGAGCGCGGCGTCGCAGAGAGTGGAGTGAACCACGGTCTCATAAAAGGTACTCAAGTCGACAAACAAAGAGCACCGATGGAGACCGTCGACGCGCGCGGCCTCGTAGCAGACGCCTCTCCGGAGTGAGGCATCGTAGGTGGAGCGCTCCGGCAAAGCGCAGTCCCACCAAAGCTCAGCGCGGTAGTCGCGAAGCCACGCTTCAACTAGGTGCCATCTGGCCTTCATCCCGAGCTTCAGGAGCGAAGACATCAAACCAATCGGTCTTTCGATTTTCTCGTTCTTAGCGAGCATTGTGAAGATGGTGAAGGTCATCTGCTGTGGCACCTCTCCCGTGGTTTCGATTTCCCTCCAAAACGAAGCCAGGGAGGAAACCTCACCCGGTGTCAGGGCTTTGAGCAGCTCAAGGGACCAGCCATCCGCACCCGCCGCTTTTAAAGGCAGGCGGCGAATGAGCCGCTGGAACTCTTCCCCAGTGACGGCAGGAAGTCTCTGGGCTTGAGCAATGGCCCGTTCTTTAAGGCCCTGGATGGGAGGAGGAGGCTGGCCCTTCGACTCCCAAAGGCGAGCCCACTGCTGCAGTCGGAGGTAGGGCCGGGCTTCAGCCGGTTCATCCACGAATGGGCGGGCAACCTCAGCTTCCTGCTTTTTGACCGTACGGAAGAGCGGCCGGAGGCCTTTCACAGAGGCCCCAGTAAGCCACTCCTGGTAATCCCGTGTCTCGCGCGACCTGGACTCTTCGATGGCGGCCTGGCACATGCTCCTGACAACAGCGCGGATCCCAGCCCGGGAGTCACCTTTGGTTTCCCCGTTGCAGAGCACCTCTTCCGGGCTGAGGCCAGAGAGGCCTGCACTCTCAAGTTTGGCCTGCAGCACCTCCGTGCACGACGAAGGAAAGCACCGCCGAAGGGCCTCGAAGCGGGCTCTGCTGGTGCCTGGGTTGTCCCAGGCAAGTTGCAGTTTTTGCCACCAGGCCGCCTCCTTGCCGTACCACGGGTAGCCCTCCTTCGGCTGCATGAGGGGTTTATACACGAAGGGCCGGGTGCACCCACGCCCGCCGGGTTTGGTGAAGTGTTCCACCGCGAACCGGTGGGTGAGTTCGGCAAATTGGCGATTGGCTGGAGTGCCCTGGATCACCTCCGACCCGAAAGCACCAAGCATAGGGCTGCCGCCGGGGGTGAACTGAGAAAAGGTCGAATCCTGAGCGAGGCTGTCAGTTCGACTGATGGCCCCCGTTTGGGGCTTGGTGCTGTCTGTTTTGAGCACCCCAGGAAACGCGGGGAGCTGCCTCAAGGCGACCTGGCCCCCGGGGGTGTTGAAACAACACTCCAGGGCAGCGTGAGGCCGGAAGGGCACTTGCCAACTGGCAGCACAGGTAAGCAGGGAAGCGACACTGGTGGAGACCAGGGCGAAATCTAGACAGTTACCTGTGGCGATCGTAGCCTCCGGTGGGGCGACGATCCGCCCACGAAAGGCCTCTGGCAGGGTGGTCTCAGCCAGCTCCTGCGATGGGAAATTCCAGTCCCCGACCACTATCCAGTTGGAATTTTGGCGCAGGAGGGGCTTCAGACGGGCGAGGACTTCCGGGTTGGGCGCCCCAGTGATGCCAACACCTGATTTAAGGTACAGGTTGACCAAGAGGATAGAATGGCGAACCCTGGGGAGTTCGACCAACAAAAAGCCGATCCCTTCGTCAGAGAGGTACCCTCCTCTGAAACGTCCCTGTTGATGGATGGGCACAAGTGTGGCCAGTCCCCCTTTGGTGGGTCTGGGGCCCTCGACAGGGGGGAGGAAAGTATGGTACCCTCTTGCTAAAGCTTCTATGCGCAGTTTTTTGGCACCTTCATCTCCCAAGTGCAGCTCCTGGATGAGAAGGGGCCCTTTTTGCGGCTGGTGCCATTTGAGAATATCCGGAGTCCACGTTGTGATGTTGGCACTGACAAACACAACAGACTCCTGACATCCCTGGTGCCCCTGAGCCGCGAGGTCGTCCAGGAAAGCCGCGGCGGTGATGGGGTCCAGCCTTGCATGGCATCGAGAATCTCATAAGAGACCCGGTAACCCAAGCTGGCCTCATCGGCTCCTTCCAGGGCCTCAGCGAGGGCTAGAGCCTGGGATTCGGACTTGCTCCAGTCATTGTGCGTCCGAAGCTCATCTGCGAGCCCTGCAGCAAGGGCCTGAACTGGATTTGCCTTAGGCTCGAGGTCAGGGAGGGGCTTGCCCGCTTTCCCCCGAGTGCTAGGCCTTCGCTTCCTGAGTCTCGGAGGAGACCGACCGGGGGGGGTAAGGGGCCGCCGCCCTGCGTCACCAGGGGGGGAAGGAGGCGATGTGGAGCCCTGTTCCTTCGGTCTGGCGCTGGACGGCTCAGGACCGGGAGGCCAGGATTGCCAGAAAAGAGAATTGGCCTGTTGCTGCCTCCTAGCCCGGTGGGCCGCACGATGTTTCCGGGTGGACTCTCAGAGGAAGTCCTGTTGCACTTTACGCCGCCCACGTAGGCCGTGGGCCATGCTGCGAACCCCGCGAGACGGGCTGATGCCTAGGGCCTTGGCCAGGCACAGCACAGGCCTGGCGGGGGATGTGGGTGGGGTGAACCCCGAACCCGTGGGTTCCCCTTTGCCCCTTGGTAGCACCTCCAAGGCACCACTTGGGGCAGGGGGCTCCTGCTCAGGGTCCAAGGCCCATCCGGCTGGAAAAAATTTTGGCCCAGAGAGCCTGGGGAAATCCTGGGCGCTCTGGTTGTCCCGTTGGCGTGAGGACACCCTGCGACGCCAGGGTTGAAGAAAAGGGGGTGGAAAGCTCACTACCCCTAATCGAGAGGCCGTGCCCAGGCCTCAGGGAAAGAGGCTGGTAGGGCGCCTTAAAACCTCGGGTCGGCGCTGGCTCCCAACGCAACGCCGCCGGGGTTTTATGAAAGACTTTGCATCGCGCGCAAAACAGGTGAGTGCTGCCTAAATCGTGCAGATCACACTTGCAAAACTTGCAAAAAACTCTGCTCTTGTGTGACCCCTGGCCAGGGTGGGGTGGCGAACCACTCCCCCTCGGTAAAAGAGCAAGTTGGTTGCTAGAAAAGGCCTGCAAAACCTCCATTGACGGTCGGAGAGAGGCTTGATTGGGCGGCTGCCCTTGCAAAATCTGCCTGGGGGCCCGTGGCCCAGAAAGGGCCAGGGGGAAGGCAGGGTTCCCCTGGCCTAGGCGCCCCTATTCGGGGTTGTCGCTGCCTGCAGCTCCCTCTGGCTTCGTCCCTTCCAAAGGTGTGGGGCGCTTCCCATGCGGATCGGTGCGGGCAGGCCCGTACATGGGGGGCATCCCCCGAGGGAAGTACTCATCAGGCCCTCTGAAACCCACGATGAAGGGGTCCGGGGGGAGGTCCTCCTTCCCGACCAAGGCAGCCTTCATCTTGGCGCGGGTGGCTTCATTGAGCTCATGGCCAGCCTCCGATAGGACCGCCTCCAGGGCGCTGAAGGCGGTGCTAGTGGAGTCCGCCGTCATCTCTTTGAAAGCCTTGGCCGTTTCCTGGATCTCGACATCCTTGGCCTTGATGTCCTTGTCGACCTGGTCCACGTCCCCAATGAGCTTTTCCAGCTCCTGCTTGAGCTTGTCCGCTCGGGCCTGGAGCTTGGCCTTCTTCTCCACCAGATTCTTCATCTGGTTGGTGGCCTTCTTGAAGTCGCTGACACACCTGGTCAGCTTCTCTTGGGGCGTGGGCTCAGGCTGGTCGAGGTCCTCATCGGGTGGAGGGGGGATTCCCGCGGCCTCCAAAAGGGTCTGGACGTGGAGCCCTGCCCCCGCGTAGACCACGGCCCTGGCAGCGTTGTACTCCTTCTCGGTCATCCTACCCTTAAGGAGGGACTGGAGGTCCAGTCCTGGCGGGGGTGGCGGCGGCCCTTTCGGCCGAGGTGGGCTGTACCCGACCTCCTGAAAGGCTTTCTGGGCGGCCTCTGGTAGGTCTTTCCAAAGACCCGCGAGTACCGCGCCGACTTTGCCACCTGGAAGGTTCTTAGAACCCTTTCCCTCTCCTTTTCCCTTGCCTTTGGTGCGACCGTCCTCCCAGACAGCTCGGGGGCTCTGGGAGTTCTCGGTACGGGCTTCCTTGTTTGCTTGCTGCTTTGCCAGCTGCTTCTGCCAGTTTCTGCCGCAGTACGCACAGTGGGTGTTTTCCCCTGACTCGACCTGGCGTTTCCAGGCCCAGTGGTACCCACAAGCGCACGGGATCCACTTGGGAGTGCGCGGCATGGCTGCAAGCTGGTGTGGAAACCACTACCAGAAGTAGTGGCTGCAGAAAGCAAGCAAGGAGTGGTGCCCACTTCCAAGCTCTAGAAGTGCACTCGGCAAGAGGAGGATCGACCTCACTCAGATCGTGCAGTGAACAGCCTACCGGGCCGCCCATCAAACCCTTGCCTGCTGTCAGGCCTACGACCTTTACCAGGTTGGGTTTGGGGCCTCTTTGGAACCTCTAGAAAAGTAGGCCCCAAGGCTGGCCACGACGGCACTGCAACGTCTGAGCCGAAAACTTGAGCCAGAGCAAACTTTTCACACCCCCTCATGCCCGAGAGTCCTCTTCACTTCTCCTCAAAAGTCTTCTTCGCGTTCTTCAAGAGAGCGAATCCTAAGCCCTCTGGATACACACCTGACTCAGGAAGAGGAAGGTAGTAGTGACTGTGTCCCTCAGAACATTGAGACGAAAGTCCCCACACAAACTCTGTGCGGTTAGACACAAACCACCATCTTTTCCAAGGTCGTTGGTCACCCTTTTCAAAGCAACAACGATCCACAACGCAACCCTGATCCAAACGAAGCTTCTTAGAAACCCTCTTAAACACAGTCTCATCCCACAGTCCTGACCTCTCAGGCCACTCGTGAGAAAGCAGAAGGTTCGGGGAGCCCACGTAAGGCTCCAACAGCTTCTCGATCCTTTTCCAGGACCTCTTGTGAACGGCCAGAGCCGCTCTCCACTTCTCCAGGGCCTTTCCTCCCTTCTTAAACCTCAGGTGCCTTAAACCACACCCAGCAGAGCACGGAGTAGACAAGTGAGCGTATACCTTAACCTCACCCTCAGCTACGACTCCGAAAACCTCTCTCAGAAGACACAAGCCATTATAGCTCAGAAGATCAACTTCCTTAGTCACCCCAAAGTAGGCGATCTCGGGGACCTTCGAGCAGGCTTTGGACAACGCACTTCCTTCTTCACAACACAGTTCAACCACTACGTACTTAGCTTCACCACGAGCTAGCTTCAACGCAGCGGCTTTCCAGGAAGGCGGAACAGACGGAGTAAAACGTTCGTTTTCATTGGGCTCTTCAAAAGACACGTGCACCTCAGTAGGCTCACTCTCCCAGGCCTTCGGTTCATCCACAAGCCCAGAGGCATCGTACAAACTAGCCAAACTTTCGTTGGTGGGACTCTTCGTGAGGGCGTCCGCAGGGTTTATCACTCCCGGTATGTGTTCTATAGTAAAACGACCCCTGGCCACCAGCTCCTGAAGGAATGCGGCACGCAGTTCGATGTGCCTCACTTTCCTCAGGAGGGTCTGCATCTTCGATATACAAACCGCCGATTCGGAATCAGAATATCCCTTAAGAACATAATAACCGGTTTCCCTGTCTTTCGGCATACCCTCGCGGATGGTCTCCACAAGCAAAGCAATGTACAACCCTTCACGAGCAACCTCTGTGAGTGCAGCGAGTTCTGCTTCCGCACTGGAGAGTGCGGTAGTCGTTTGTTTCCTGCTGAAGCTTTTCAGGGAACAGTTCTCCCAAGTGATGATCCCGCCGCTTACCGAATTCAGACTCCAGCTCGCGTCCGTAAAACAAGATACAGAGGCAGGGTCCGCATCATCTTCCAAGCTCTCCCTTTTGCTCGGAAACCTCTGGACCTTGTGCGGAAGACCCTTGACCCAACGAAGGACATCCCTCATACAGGTCTCGGCAGCCTCGTCAGGAGCTGCTTGGTGGCGGCCCAGAAACCCACACACAAACTGCAGGTCTGGTCGTGACAGAGCCGCCCAGGCCAAACGGCCCAGAGTCCTTCTGTACCTTTCGTGAGCAGCTGGACTGATCAGCTCAGTCTGGCCTTTCTTCAGCAACTCCGCATAGCGGCGTTCAAGGGAAGGGAGCTTTGGTGCAGGTTTGGTGATTCCGTACTCCTCGCAACAAGAACTCAGGTACTGTTCGTCTAGCCCGAAATACACCGTACGTTCCCCTTTCTTACGGCGAAAGATCCGCCGACCGAGAAACGAGACTTCCCCGGGGCAATCTTGAATCAACTCGCCCGTAAGTTTCAGTTTGTATCTCTTACGCAACTCCTCATAGAACCGGCGCCCCTCAGCTTCATCTTCACTATAGATCAGCAAGTCATCCACATAAAACAACACAATCGTCAAACCCTTCTTCGTAAGACGACGGAAGATAGTGGGGTCCAAACTTGCTTCGAAGTTCTGAGAGCGCAAGTATTCAGCCAACTCGCAATACCAAGATAATGGAGCAGAGCGCAATCCGTTCATCGCTTTACGCAATTTGACGAAAACTCGTTCCCCAGTCCCCTGGGTGCTCACATTATTCGGCAACTCTACGAATTCTGCCCTCGCTACGGGAGCATGCATGAACGCTACCGAGACATCGCAGGACAACACACTGCCACGTCGGCAGAGCATTGACAGAAGCAATCTCAGACCCTCCAATGAAGCAGTAGGAGAGTAGATTCCCTCACTCAAGGTGGTGCCTCCCATAGAGGCATAATCCCGCACGACTAGCCTAGATCTATACAGTCCCTTCTTCTTGACCGTGTTGACCCACCTGCTA